CTATTATGTGGTGCAAATCTGATTAAGCCAAGAAGGGAACAGTTCTTTGACTGAATAAACAAATAAGCCATATCTCAAGAGATGAAAGCAATTGTGGAGAGACCCCATGTCTGTGTCAGAAGGCACAGTTTGGTGGAGAGCAGGAAGGATCATATTGATTTTGAGCTATCTGACCAAAAGAGAAAGATCTCATCCAGTAGGACTCAGAAATACATATTCCAGATAAACATGATAGAGAAAGACAGTCACCCAAAGGAAGAACTAGCTTCAGGGGTGTAACACCCCAAGAACCAGGTGTAGACTAGAGAAGAACAGACTTTAGGCCTGTTTAGTGCGGAACTCAAGGAGAAGGACTTTGAAAGGACTGTACAAGGAGAGAAAAAACTTCTTGTCTCTAATACTAGGAGTTATCAGTTGTCTTTCACACACATATTTTATAGATATACTTCAGTAAGTTTTACTTTAGGTTTGTGCTCACTCTTGTATGTGTACTGTGTCTATTTGTGGGATAATGTACCCCAGGCTTATGGTAGAAATATTTGCAGTAATTATTTTCATTATATCATTTTAGGAAATGTCTTTGCTAAAAGTTAATTGTGCCTGTTGGCGTTATCGTTAATGAGAAGTCTATCTGTAGGGGCTCATGGACTCTGTCATGTTAGAAATACAGACATACAGAATATTAGAAGCTGAGGGAATATCCACCCTCTGGGAACCCAGTGTGTGAGTGCAAAGGCAAGTTAAGGGAATAGCCCAGAGAAAGGACTTCACAAGTAAAAGGCAAGGTCCTCAGCTGAGAAAATGAGGGTGAAAGGGAGATGTGGAAGCATTGAAGAGAGTTTTGGAATGTCAGTAGAGAGTGGAATAAAAGGATTACCTTGCTGCAGTGAGGCCTGTGTTCAGTTCAGTTCAACATTTATTAAGCACTTAGTCCATCCAACACACTCAGCTAGGTAATAGGGATATAGAGACAGATCTGTGTCTGGTCTATCCTACGATGATCACTTTCTTCAAGGAACTTACATTCTATTTGGGGGATGCAACCTGTACCCAACTAATAGTTGAGTGGGCAGGTACTTTGCTGGTGAGTAGGGAAGCTAGTTACTCCCTCTTGGCTGCCTCTTCCCAGGTACCTCCCCCCCACCGCCCATATATGGGTGCCACTTCTCCTTCCCAGCCTCCTTTCACGTGAGTTTTTAATTAGTGCTCTTCTTGGCTCTGATCCCTGAGAAAATGGTTTTCCTTTCAGACTTGTGGAAAAAACATATAAAGAGGAGATGCTTGAGGCCAGTGCTAAAGCTGACTCCAGCTTGCTTACAAACCTCCCACCAACATATCTCACCAACTCATTTCGAGTCTAGGGTGGACCAGAATTACTTGATCTTTTTCTGTTTTGGGGAAGCTATAAACATATGAATCAAATCTCTTTTGTTTAGCCTGAGCCCCCCAGCTAGGAAGGTGAATGTACACAGATACACCCATACACATGTATGTGTATACGTATGTGTGTGCATGTGTATATATACATATATACATATATAATACACACACACATCTCAGTTTAAAACCTCCTTCTCTTTTCTGTATGTGTTTACCACTTTTGACCTCTTCCTCACTTGCATTTAGTAATTAAACACATAGATCCGTAATGGAATGGTTGACCATAATTTTTTTTTTCTTAGATAACTGTTTTTGGGAGAAACAAAACAAAACAAAAACAAGTGAAACAAAAAGCAGAACAAACTCTTAAGAAACAAGGATTGGGAAAAACTCGTTTCTCTCTTTAGAAAGTGAGCGTGGGAAAGTAGCAAAGGATGGGAAAGCGTGTTTGCAGGGCTCCTGTCAGCGGCTTGAATGGCTGCAGTTGTTCTGTGTGTGTTTGGTGTGGCTTCCGCGTTGTTTGCCTCTTGTCTTCGTCCTCAGCTCTCAGCATTTGCTCCAGTGTGTACATTGTGGTGTTGCCAGCTTGCCCTCCTATCTCTGCCACTTCTGCTGTAGTTCTTGAGCCCTGATGTAAACCCTGCTTTCAATCTGATATAGGCTCTCTATATACATTTGTGTTAAGCATATTTTCCCATTAGTCATGATGTAAGGAACAATTAGAACTAATTGGAGGAACCACAAGAATGAAGTAATAAAACAAAACAACAAAGGAAAAGGAGAGCAAATAGTATGCTACCATCTACATTCAGACTCCATATTTCTCTGGCTATGGACAGCAATTTCCATTGTTAAGTCTTGGCAGGGGAGAGGGGAAGAAGCAGTAGGCCAAGAAAATTTAAAACTCAAAATCTTATGGAAATGAATGTTGAAAACTAGAAATAAATAAATTATCCAAAAAACCCCCCCAAAACAAAGAAATTGGATTATAAAGGAAACAGTTAACTGTGAATAGAATCTTTGAAGCAAATTTCTCTAATAAAGGTCTCATTTCCAAGATAAAAACCAAAACCAAAACCTCTGCTTTCCCAGGGGGTTCCCAGCATGCTCATACCCACCTCCCATGCTTGATCTAGCTTCAGACTTCTTTCATATTATTTCCCTTTATACCCTCCTTATTTAACCAAATTGGCCTGCCAGCTATTTTTGAACTTAGTATTCTGTTGTCTGTCTCTGTTCCCTTGTGTGGATCATCCTAATTGGATGTTTTTTGTCCTCACAGTGATTTCTAGTCCATCCTTCCCTCTTATTTCTCAGGCTCTGGTTTCACTTTTCTTGTCTTCCCAAGTTCAATTGTATAGTTAACCAGTTCAGCTACTATAGTTGAATTCCTTGCCCCTTTTCTTACCATGGCTTATTTATATTTATATCTATATATCTATATCTATATATAGATATATAGATATATATACACATACACACATATATGTGTATATATATATATCTATATATATATCTAAATTTTTAGTTTTCAACATTCATTTCTGTAAGATTTTGATTTCTAAATTTTCTCTCCCTTCTTCCCATCCCCTTCCCAAGACAGTGTGCAATCTGATATAGGCTATACATATACATTCATATTAAACATATTTTCAGTGGCTTATACTTGATAAACCTCAACCATGAATCATTCCTACCATCTACCTACACTCCTACTTTTGCTGAACAGTGTTAAATCATAGAACCTCTCTCTAATCTTTAGTTTCTCCCAATCTACAGCCTCCTCTTTTGCCTAAAAACCCATCTGTCTCCCTAGCCTTAAAAAAAAAATCCCAAACCTCAGTAGGTCTCTCCATATTTTCAAGCTCTTGTCCTCTAAGATCTTCTCTCCTCCCATTCACAGGCAATCTTTCAGAAAAAGTTATCTGCTCTTGTTGCTGCTTCAACTTGCTGTCTTCTCAATCACTTCTCAACACATGGCAGTCTGGCTCAGGCTTATCATTTAACTGAAACTGCTTTCCAAAATTACCAGATATTTTTTTTAATCAAAATTTTTTTTTCAATTAACAAGAATGTATTTTCTCTCCCACATTCCCTGCCATGAACAGTAACAAAAACCAAAAACATTGAAACATATATGCACAGTCAAGCAAAATAAATTTTCACACTGCCCCTGTCAAAAACCTATGTGTGTCTCATTCTGTCCATCACCTCTTTGTTAGGAAGTGGGCAGCATTCTTCATTATCAGTCTCTTGGAATTATGACTGTTTACTGGGTCGAACAGAGTTCTTGAGCCTTTCAAAATTATTCATTTTTAGTGTTGATGTATTAATTATTCTCTTGGTTCCACTCCATTCTGCACCATCCAGGTCTTCCCAGGTTTCTCTGAAAACATCCTTTTAATAATTTCTTTGAGCACAATAGTATTCTATTACATTGATATACCCTTTTTTGTTCAGCGATTTCCCAACTGATGGCCACTGTCCCCCCGTTTCAAATTGTCTGCTTGCCAGTCTGATGGCATTTGCCCAGTCTTTATCCTCTGTGCTGCATTTGACAATTGAACATCCTCTCTTTCTGATAGTTTCTTCTGTGTTTTTTTTTTTTGCAACATTGGTTTCCCTTTGTTCTTAGGGTCCTTTGCTGGATCACCTTCCATATCCTACTCTCTAACAATAGGTGTGTCCTAAAGGCACAGTCTTGGACTCTTTATCTTTCTCTAAGCTCTGTTGGGGACCTCAACTCTCCAAGGTTTAATTATCTTGCAATTACATAGATGACCCCCAGAGCTTCAGTCTTATTTCAGTGTCCCATAGGCAACTCAAACTCAGCATGTCCAAAAGAGAACTCATCTTTTTCCCAACCCACATCTCTTCTGACTTTCTCTATTTCCTTCCTGTCACTGAGATTTGTAACCTCAGTTTTCCTTGACTCTTTATTCTCATCCCACAAATCCAATTAGTTGTCACACCTTGTTGATTCTTTTTCCACAATATCTCTTATATCTGACCCCTTCTCTTCACTGTCATGGCATTATCCTCATTCAAACTCTTATCACTTCTCACCTGGGCTTCTACAATAGCCTCCTTTATTGGTCTTATTGCCTTCAGTCATTCACTTCATCCTCCAAATAGTTAATGAAGGGATATTACCAAAGCACAGGCTGAACCATGTCACTTCTTTACACAATAATCTCTAGTGGTTCCCTGATACATCTAAAAAATCAAACATGGACTCCTCTGTTTGGCACTTAAAGCCCTTTATAACCTGGCTGACCAGTCTTTTTTATACCTTCCTCTCCTTCGTGTACTCTGCATTCTATCGACGCTCCTCACACATGTCATTCCATCTCTAATCTCTACCTTTGCCTAGGCTGTCCCCAGTGTCTAGAATGCACCACATTTCTCATCAACTCCAGTGAAATCACAGGCAAATCTGGTTAAAAAAACAAGCCAAAAAACCAAAAAAAAAAACCAAAACAAAACCCAGCTACCTGTGACTCCCAACTCTAGTATTCTTGCTGACTAAAAATTGTGCTTTATCTAGCAGTTTAAGAATATAGCTGAAATACAGAGCATGAAAAGACAACGAATGCCATCTTTGTTTTCTCCCCTTGTAGGAAACATACAAAATCGTCTATCCCTCCAGTTCCAGACTATGTTACTCTCACCACAAGAAAAAACACTTTGAGGTAAGGTCTTCCATGCCAGTTAGCAAGTATTTGTTTAAACTGGGTGAAGAAAATAGTGAAATATTCAACTGTGTTCATATTTGAACTAAATTCTATTGTGTTTGCTGACTTGAGTTTAACTTTATTTCAGGGAAGATTGCAATGTCCAGGATCAGACCTTCATCACCCAGCAAGTTCTGCTCACAGAATCTAGTGGTCTTGTCCTTCCTGATATTCAAAAAGGACCGGATCATAGTGTATCATAGTAAGGTGCCTGTAATCTGATCAATTTCATATCCTTTTAAACCTTTCCAAGTAGAGGAACTCACACACATTTCTCCTTTTTTTGGACACGGAGCCCTTAGGATCTGTGCTGAGAAATAACAGCATAATTACGGTTGCAGGGAAATTTTTTTAAGCATGGCCACACTAAAAAAGGAACACTGTATTTAACATAAGATGAATTATGGCTCCCTTAGTGTGACATGTAGTTTTGGCTTGGCTGTTTATTTTAAAAGACACAAATGCACACATCCTTATATTCTAGTAAATATAAACTACAGCTGGTTTAGTTAGTGCAATCTCAGGAGTCCCTGCGACTATTTCATTTCACATTAAATTTATACAACGTGGCCTTCTTATTACCCAGCCTATGAGTTATTGGAATCAAACATGTGAGTGCATACATTCACACACATTATGGGTTCTCACATACACACCTAAATTTACATATATTAACCAATCAAACCACACAATTTTATAAGAGGGTAAAACAAGGTGCAGTCTCCCTTTCCAAATACAAATTTTTGTTACCCTAATTAAAAGACAGTACTTTAGAAGAGATGTTCCTATTGTGCCATATGTGTTTTTTGAAATTAAGGCTCCAGATGATTTAAAGTCATCTAATATGGTTTAACATTCCATTTGGTAAAGTCAGCAATAAGCCTAATTGATGCTTGGCATTTTACAGTATCTGACAATCTTTAATTTACTAAATACCCCAGTAAGTTTGGTCAAGACAGTTTAACTGGAGAAACAAAGAAATAAGTTTCTTATCTTTGAAATGAGAGGGTTAGAATAGGTCATTTTTAAGATCCCTTGATTTGTTTTAAATCTGGTTATCCTATAAGTGATCGAGCCCCTATCAGAGAGTCGAAGTCTTGTATGGGATGAATACTAGAGCTTGCTCCTTTGGGCCCAGAAATTTGTTCACTGGCTGATGATGTTATCACATTAAAAGTATACATAAGATATTTGAAATCAGCAAAAAAGAGATTATCTACTCAAAGTAAACGTCTTCATCTTTTAGTTCCATTCTGACCAGTATAGCTTAGTTAACACTAAAATCAAGGAAGGAAAGCTAGGCATAAGGTCACTTGAAACAAGGAATACCAGTCATATTGCTGTCATAATAATGCAATCCAGGCTTTATAGTATCTTTGTGTCATGAAAATAATTGAAATTTCTCTTATGCTAAGAGATTTCTTTAAAGGAATTGCCCTCTAATCAAATGACATAACTAAAAAATGCAAAGAGGGCATAAAAGCATACGTATAACAACTGTCAGAGTTCTTCCCTATAGAAATCAAGAAATATGATGACACAACTTATTTCCTGAAAGATTCCTTCTCCATTTCACAGTAGAAAGATCTCTTTATTTCTAAGACTGATAAAACACTTGGAATAGTTTGCTGAATTAGTGCTGTGTGTTTGTGGTCACTCTTCCAAATACAACAGTTGAACAAAAAAATTATTTTTCCAGACTACTCTGAGAAAAAAGTACTTTTAGCAGTGGCATTTTGAAGTAGAAGAGACTGAAAGAACCATAAAAATAAAACATGGTCAGTGAATCACTGATGCTATTGTGGAGGGTTATATTTTGGGGACCAAAAAGTAGACAACATCTAGTCCTATTTTGTGTTTTAAGACTTCTTCACCAATTATTGGAAACCTTCTTTGGAGACACTAATGTCTCCCCTGACCCCATTTCCACCTCCAACCCCACCTCTCCTCTGGGTTCTCCCTTTATATAAGAATTTCATAGTTAAAATAGTTACTTCAGAAATGGAAGTACTAAGCAACTGAAAATCCTGGATTGAAAATGTGACCACCGGGTGTAGTAACAAAAGCACTGTATAGGAAAAGGAGGTCCCAAGGACGATCTGGCTAGAGTACTCATCCCCAGTGCATTGTGTGTGAATAATGTAAGCACAGTTGACAAGATCTATGGGAGAGATGGTTAAGGAGAGAGAGCAGTTATTCAGGATAGAAAAAATCTACTAAAAGTTCTTTTTAATGGCCCATAGTTGGCATAACTACGGCAGGTGCAGTTAGCACGGAATCTTCTTCTTTCCACTGAGAAGTAATGGTCTTTAGCTGTGTGTAGAATTGGATGCCCTAAATGGAACAAGAGGAAAAAAAAATTAGCATCAGTTCAAGTGGTTCCTATGAGTTAAGTAATATCTATAACTAAAACTCACTGTACTAGATGCTGCAAAATTGTGAAATGTTTGTGTAGAATAGTCAGAACAATTGAGAAAAAGTGATACATACTTCCTCCTTCTGGAAATTTGTAAAGAATGTAACTGGCCATCAAAAGCCAAGAGCACTTTTGAATACTTGGTCATGAGCAGAATGTGTCCAACACTTTTAAAAAGAATCTATCTTAAGCAACATTAAAATACTTGCCCTGATCAATCTCCTACCAAATGTTAGGAGATTAGCCCCTAATTTTCATGAAGAAATAAAACAAAACCCTCTGAACTTTGTTTTAAGGTCCTGATAACCTGGAAAATGAGACCTAAAACTATTAATCAGTCTATCCACATACGCCTGCCAAAGTGGTGTAATGTGAACAGTCCTTTCAACCATTTCTCAGTGAATGACCAAGAGATTACCTCTTTTGATAAAGTTGGAGCCCTCAACTTAAACTATAAGAGTAAGCAGTAACTTTGTTAACTTTTGCATAAATGAAATTTTTCTTAATTGAAAATAAAATAGCTGATGGATGGTAACTCTCACCAAGCCAAATGAACTATTTTTCTATATGTCCCCCTCACCCTCCCAAAAAGCCAGTTAGTGTTTATCTGTTTGATATATTTTAAAACTGTTCCTGACCGTGCTTCATTTGAATCTTATGGCAATGTGTGTCTAAAAGGGTAATCTATAATTCATTATAAAACCATAATGAATCCATTTAGGAGATAAGATTAATCTTATTTCTTAGATGTGAGAGTTATAAGGTAGTAATATAAAATCTGGGCCCCTTTCTGGAATATACTCTATCCAACTTTCTTCTGAAGTGAGCAGCAGTGTGGTATATAGAGTGCTGGACCTGGAACTATGTAAGAACTGGCTTTAATTCTACCTTAGATTCTTAGATATTAAAAATGAATTGTCCCTTTGATAAATCCCCTTCTAATATTATTTGGTAAAACCTGACTCATTAATCTAAGAAAAGTTTAATTTGATCCAATTAAGCATTATTCTATATAAGATATAAAACTATACTTTTTGAAACTATAGAAATAAGATGTATTCACCTGTAGTTTTCACACAACGTAGGAGTTACAATTTCCTTAAGGTAATAACCAATATGATTTAAAATCTTGACTTGTCTTTCTAGACTCATTTTTCTTTGTTAACAAGGGAAGCAGTATAGGTATAGAAGCATGCAATCCAGAGGATTAATATGTCTGCCTGTAGTCCTTGTGGTAGAATATTTACTCTTCTGGACAAAGTTTTTCATGTACTGCTAAGGTTTCTTTAATTTGCACGTTTGCAATAGGGTTTTGCTAGTATCCGAATCAAATCAACACATGGGATCAGAGCTAGAAGGGACCTTAGTGAGACTCAAGTGTCAGTCCCTTCATTGCATAGATGAGGAAACTAAGGTCTAGAGAGATTATATAACTTGAACAGTATCACACAGGTAGCAAGCGGCAGAAGTGGGATTCAAATTCAGATCCTCTGACTCTAAATCCAGGGCTCCTTTCACCGTATTAGATTCTTTCTCTTAAAGGGGAGAATTCAAACAAGCAGTACTGGTTTGAAAATATATGCATTCTGTTTAAGGTTTTATCTTTTATAAATAAGTATACCCAAACAATCTGGTTAAAAGATGGCTAAGATGAAAATCAGAATCCTTTTTTCCTCAAAGAAACTGGTCCCTAAGCAATAATAATCTGTGCTTGATTGTAACTCTTAACTTGGGAAGTCAACTCATCTTGTGATGTTTCTTTAGCAGTCAAATCTAAGCATGAACTTGGGGGGAAGATACCAAGTATAAATGAAAATCACACATGATTCCTAAAGGTTATGATTTCAAATCTCCCATCTTGTAATTAAAGCTGCTAAATGACTAGAAACATTAAATTTTGATCGTAAAGTTGGTCACCAGGTGACAAATCGTTTTGGCCACAGCAGCCATCTCCTAAAGTATGAAGGGATTTTGATATCTGTCGGTAGAGCAAGTGCCCAATCATGTTGAAATCACAGCTCCTTTAAAGTAATGTTTTGGTGACTTATTTCTCCTGCCTGTAGCCTATGAATGAGCAGGGCTCCAAGGCAGCAAAAAAGAAGCAATTAGATCTGGATAGTATATTAAATCAATAAACGTTTCTTAAATAACCGAGACTGACTACTCAGAGATATTTAACCAAAAGCCAATACAACATTAAGCCAAGAAACTAGAGTTTCCATTTCAGAATTATATTTAGCTTGTCAAAGGGGGGAACATAATCACTACTAAATAATGATTCTATTGCTACAAAAACGGAAACCAGCAAAGACCATGCAATTTAAGAATGGATTTACAGAATGGTACCTCTCTTCAGAAAGGGTTAAGTTAGTAAGGCTTAGAGAAGTGGTAGCAGTAATAGTACTATAAATACAACCTAATATTAACATAGGACTTTCATTTTCAAGGTACTATCACGTAATTATTATTTCATTTTAACAACATTCCTATCAAGCAGGTGGGAGGTTCTTCATTTCACAGAAGGGGAAATTGAAAACAGAGAGGTTCTGATCTTTCACTTAGTTTAGTCTGTGCTGGAGTCTAAACTCTAGGCTGTCAGTGCTTTTTTTTCACAAAATTATACTGCCCTGATGGCACATAGGAGAGTATTTGACTATGATTCTCACCTCTTGGGTCACACCAAGTATAGAAAAAGTCACGTAGGCCGCCATGGCAAAATCTATGCTAACTACATTTAAATTCCTTCTAGAGGACCCACAGCAGTACCTCTACACTTAACCTTACTTCATATAAACTGTTGGCAATCTTTTTGTGGTAGCCTGACAAGTATGTCATTCTTCCTCCTCTGTACATCCAAGAGGAGGTTCATTAAGCAAAACTATAGCAACCATTTCTAATACTTAAGTTATTTACCTGTTTGCCATAAAAATTGGTTTCTCCTCTGAAGGAAGAGCGAGATCCCGTAAATGAGAACATTGGCAAAGGCACTGGAATAGGGACATTCACACCCACCTAATACAGAGCAAATACAAATTAACCATTAAGCCAGGAAACACAACAACTAAAATTTCTATGTAGTGAAAATTTTGAAACCCACAATGAATCCTTATGATGGAAGAGAGAAAGTTGTATGTAGACTAATGTGGCAAATACCACTCTTTTAAGTAGGTTCCATTGACTGTTCCCTCTGTTGGCTACCAAATCTTAGATAGAAAACAAAAACTGTTATGGGACCCATCTAAAATATACTTCACAAACCTGCCCCACATTCACCAAGTGAGAGTATTTTCGAGCAATGGCTCCATTGGCAGTAAAAATGGCAGTTCCATTTCCATATGGATTGTCATTCACCATCTTGATTGCTTCATCCAAAGTGTCTGCCTCCATAACCACTAGAACTGGACCAAAAATCTCCTCTTTGTAACAGGTCATATTTGGCTGATAAGACAATGAATTGGAAAAAGAATGATATGGGATACTGCATACTTTACCATCATACTATAATTCCTTTCCCTTTTCACCTACTACATCAATAGTTCCTCCCCAGTGAACACTGTTATAAAATGCTCATCACTTACAATTCTAATTTACCACCTCTTCCCATGCATCTGAATTAATATGACTTTTGCCTATTTTAGCCCAGACAATTTGTCAAAAATATCTTACTTGATTTATACCAAGAATGAAGGGATGGCTTAACAGAAGGAAAACTATTAACATAATAGAGTATATCAATAACAAAAGGAACAACAATCATATCATTATATCAATAGATGCAGAAAAAGCTTTTGACAAAATACAACACTCATTCCTAATAAAAACACTTTAAAGCGTGGATATGAATGAATTTTTCCTAAAAACGATAAGAACTTACTTAAAACCATCAGCAAGCATTATTTGTAATGGGGACAAGCTAGAAACCTTCCCAGTAAGATAAGGAGTAAAACAAGGATGTCCATTATCACCAATATCATTCAATATTGTATTAGAAATGCTAACAATAACATTAAGAGAAGAGAAAGAAATCGAAGGAATCAGAATGGGCACTGAAGTGATAAAACTATCTCTTTTTGAAGACAATACCATGACATACTTGGAATATCTTAGAGATTCAACCAAAAAGCTAGATGAAAAGATAATTAAGTAAAGTAGCACAATATAAAATCCACATAAATCATCAGCATTTCTATATTATCACCAACAAAGGCCTGCAAGAAGCCACAGTAAGAAACACCACATTTAAAATAATTGTATACAGCATAAAATACCTGGGAGTATATTTGCCAAGACAAACTCAGAAACTAAATGAACATAATTATAAAACAGTTTTTATATAAATAAAGTCAGAAATATTAACAATAAAAGTGACAATTCTACCTAAACCAATCTACTTATTCAGTGCCATCCCAATTAAATTACTAAAAAAAATTATTTTATTGAGCTAGAAAAATAATAAAATTCATTTGGAAGAACAGAAGTCAAGAATGTCAATGGAATTAATAAAAAAAAAAGTAAAGGAAGTTAGTTTAGCAGTGCCAGATCTTAAACTATAAGGCAGTAATTATCAAAACTAATATTGGCTAAGAAATAGAAAGGTGGATCAGTGGAACAGAGTAGACCTATAATACACAGTAGTAAATGATTATAGTAACCTTGTGTTTGACAGCTGTAAAGATTTAAGTTTTTGGGATAAGAATTCATTATTTGGTAAAAACTGTTGGGAAAACTAGAAAGCAGTCTGGCCAATACTAAGTGTAGACTCTACATTGTCCACAGGTTCTGAAAGTGAGCAGTACTGCTGCTTGGGGGGCACTGGAATGATCGGGGGTGGGGGGAAGGTGCAGTAGTAGACTCAGGTACAATTCGGGGGGCTGAATAAAAATAAGGGGGTGATCATAAGGAAAGACGATAAGAAAATTTTGAAAAATCGTTGTACATGTTTCATCTGTTGTGTAACACAGTTGAACTCGTAGTGATTACATTATTTTCCAAATAAACACAGAAAATGCAAGTTATAACCAATCAGTGGTCAAGTCCATTGACAGCTTATAACAAGCAAGTGTTGGCAGGTAAGTGTGTTGCACATTGTCAGAAAATCCAGCATGCATAAGCAGGAATATGTGCATGTAATGACTTGTTTATAACATGATACTGTGCGGTTTTATGATGTAATACTGTGTCATCAAAATTTCAGTGCAGGAAAAAATCCACAAATTTACAATAAATTATTAAATTTAAGATGCATCATTTCAAAAAAATTTTTTTTGAAATGATGCAAATTTCCAAAAAACAAAAATAAAAAAACAAACCCCACCCCACCAAAACAACTGTTAAAGGGTTAAAGAAAGTAGATTTCCAGGGCGAGCTGAGTAAACTTTTTTTAAAGGGGGCAACAGGCCAAATAAGTTTGGGAACCTCTGATGTAGACCAATATCTTACACCATTGACCAAGATAAAGTCAAAATGGATACATGACCTAGATATAAAGGGAGATATCGTAAGAAAATTAGAACATGGAACATATGACTATCACACTTATGGAGAGGCGAGGAATTTATGAATAAACAAGAGATAGCATTGTGAGATGTGAAATGGATAATTTTGATTACATTAAATTAAAAAGGTTTTGTACAACTAAAACCAATGTTGTCAAGATTAGAAGAAAACCAGAAAACTGGGAGAAAATTTTATAGACAGCTTCTTGAATAAAGGTCTCATATCTCAAATATATAGAAAACTTTGTCAAATTTATAAGAATGAGTCATTTCCCAACCAATAAATGGGCAAAGGATATGAACAGGTAGTTTTTTGATAAAGAAATCAAAGCTATATATAGTTGTATGAAAAAAATGCTCTAAATCATTACTGATTTGAGAAATGCAAATTAAAACAACTTTGAGATATCTCAGATTTATCAGATTGGCTAAAACGATAGGGGAAAATGACAAATGTCAGAGGGGATGTGGAAAAATTGGGAAACTAATACACTGTTGGTAGAACCGTGAAATGATACAACCATTTTGGAGAGCAATTTGAAATTATGCCCAGAGAGTTACAAAACTATGTATAACTTTGACCCAGCAATACTACTATTAGGTCTGTTTCCCAAGGTGATCAGGAAAAAAGGAAAAGAACTTATATGCGCTAAAATATTTATAGCAGCTCTCTTTGTGGTGGCAAAGAATCAGAAATTGAGGGGATGCCCATCAACTGAGGAATGACTGAATAAGTTCTGGTGTATGATTGTGATGGAATACTACTGTGCTATATAAAGACTTGCATGAAATAATGAAGAGTGAAATGAGCAGAACCAAAAGAATGCTGTATGCAGTAATAGCAATAGTGTTTGAAGAATAACTGTGAATGACTAAGTTATTTTGAGTATTATAAACACTCAAATCATCTACAAAGGATCTATGAAGGAAGATGCTATCTACTTCTAAAGAAAGAACTGATAAATTGTGTGTGTACATGTCAGAGAGAGAGAGAGAGAGAGAGAGAGAAAGATGGTGGCCTTCTCAAGTGTGGGGTGGGGAGGAAGACAGTTTGAAACTTAAAATGTAGCAAAAAAAAAAAGTTTTTAAGATTACCTTACTCAGTATCCTTTGCCACTTTGGTTCAGCCACTCATTACCTTTAGACTTGACATCTTTTCTGATCTCCCCACTGCTGGTGCCCTCTTAAACTACCTTGTATTGAACTACTTTATGGATATACATGTATGTGTATTCACTGATTTTATATTTATGCTGTACATATAGTTATGCATACTTGTTGTCTCCCCCATTAGAATGTAAGCTTGTCCTGAGCAGGGATTGTTTCATTCTTTGTAATGGTATCCTCAGTGCCTAGCACATAGTATAATGGTACTTAATACTTGAGTATGACCCAATCTACCAACCATAAAACCACCTTATCATTATTTTTTATTTTTGTTGTTAAGTCATTTTCAGTCATGTCTGATTCTTTGTGACCCCATTTGGGTTTTCTTGGCAAAGATACTGGAGTGGTTTGCCATTTCCTTCTCCTGCTCATTTTACAGATGATAAAACTGAGGCAAACAGGATTAAGTGACTTGCCCAGGGTCACACAGCTAGTAAGTGTCTGAGGCTACATTTGAACTCAGGTCCTCCTGACTCCAGGCCTAGCATTCTATCCACTGTGCCACCTAGCTGCCCATAGTTTTTATTAGTACTATTTTAAAAACTGTTTTATTGATACCTTATTTTGTACATCATAGTAAAATAATTCTCTATATATTCTTCCTCAGCAACCCTACTCAATGAGTTTTCCCTTGAAACAAAGTAAAACTTAGTTAACCAAAATCAACACAGTACATAAACACATCTGAATGATGAGCCATAAACCAGACCTTTTTTTTTTTTATAAATACTTGTATAACTTTGCCATATGCATATTTTTTGTAAATCAAAGAAAATCACACATTAAGTATGCTAAGGGAGCTAGTTATTTAAAGAATATCTCTAATGAATTATTTTGTAATGTGAAAAATCCTATAATTTATTTGTTTTATATATTTTGATTTTTTTGTGGCTGCTTTCTTAAAGTGGTACTTTCAGAAGTATTGAACATAGCAAATGCTAGTTGCTTAGCTGATTAAAGAAAACAAATAGCTAAAAGGCAAGAAGCAGTTAAGTTGATGAAGAAAAGAGTAATGGATTTTTTTAAAAAATCAACTCTCTCAAGTCTTGTGTGTGTGGCTGGCTGAAAGAATATGGATTAGAAAATAAAGAATTTGGATTCTAGAGTAGGCTGTGGCAGCAGCCAGTTGTGTGAATTTGGGCAAATAAAACTCCTCTTAGCCTCAGCCTCAGTTTTCTCACCTGTAAAGCTAAAGATATGGACTCAATCACTGGTCTCACACTCAAATGGCAATTTTAAGTTCCTAGCACTGAAGCAACACTACTAATGCATCTTTTTTTTTCCTGTTTATGAGTCTGCTAATCCCATTTTGTCTAAACAAAGGGACAAAACATTAAATAGACCCTACCTGGTTGTAAGCAGCCCAGTGTTCTTAAGCTGGAGATCATGGGATTATATAGAGTATCCCAAAAGTCTTAAAGCACTTTTAAGCTTTAATATCTTGTATATGATCCTAAACCCACTCTAAGATTTAAATTTGTGCTTTTGTAACTGATCAAAATTTTATTAGATAGTTACGATGATTATCTCTGCTTATTTACCTTGACCTTTGAGATGATAGTTGGTCCAACAAAGTTGCCATTTTCATAGCCTTTCACTTGAATTTTTCTTCCATCTAGAAGAATCGAGGCTCCCTCCTTTGTTCCACTCTCAATGAGATGACAAACTCGTTCTTTGGCCTGTGGGGAGATTAGAGGGCCCAAATCAGCTCCAGGCTGGTCCCCTGAAAAACAACGTATGAATCATTTAAGAGTTTTATTATGATGATAATACACAATAGCAAAGATTTAACTAGAACACAGGCACAATGGAAAGAAAATGGGATAATCTTTAACAGGCAAGGTCCAAGTCCCAGAGCCAAACATTCTCTAATCCACAGCCTTTGCCTTGGATGTTGACTTTAAAGATGGTCACAAATAGTTACCAGCATTAACCCGAAGCTTTTTGGCATGCTCCACAAGTTCTGGCAGCCAACTCCTTGCTTCCCCTACGAAGATGGCTGCGGACAGGGCCATGCAGCGTTGCCCTGCAGCTCCAAAAGCTGCTCCTACCACTTGGTTTAGAGTGTTTTCCTTATTGGCATCTGGCATGATCACGCCATGGTTCTTTGCTCCCTAAGAAAACAAAGAAAGCAAACCATGTTCTTGCTGAGGGTGTCAAACTGTTAAGTTAATGGAAACTGATACTTCCTAAAGTGATTATCAAAAGGAACAATAAAGCCAAATTTAGATCTTTAATTAGGAAATGGAAACCAGAAAAGAATGGTAATCAAATGAGGGGGACATGGGATCTCAGATCTCATACCTCTTTCAAGCAAAAATGGGGGGAAAGACTTGGAAAAGCACTCCCAGTTGGCTTTGGTAGATCAAGAATATGGTATCATTTAAATCTTGGCAACATCTTTGTGAAAACCCATAACTTCCATCTGTTTAGCACTCTAAACTTGTATGAAACACTGTGCATGAAATAAGCCAGTTAAGACAGGTATCATAAATATTATTCTCATGTTACAGATAAAGAAAAAGGCTGTGAGAGTTTTAAGTAACTTGTCATGGTCCCAGAGTTCAGCATATCAAATGGGATGTGAACCTAAGCCTCCTAACTCCAAGTCAACCCAGTTTTACTATTACATTACTTGGCCTCTCATGAAGGCAGGAGGAGAATTTCATTCCATTCCATTCCATAAGCATTATTAAGCATCGTACCTACTGAGCTAAATACTGCAAAAACACAGCAATCCTTCCCTGGAGATGCTTACAATCTATTAGCAGTTACAATATGCAAACAGGTAATTCAATATAAAATAATTTGAAGGAGAAGATACTAGAGATTTGAAAGGTTTCATGTAGGAAGTAGCACCTGAGATGAGCCTTGAAGGAAGACAAGGACTCTAAAAATCACAGTTGATTGAGGCATACATTCCATGCTAAAGGGATAGCTTATATAAAGGCAACCAGGTAGAAGAGGAAATGTTAAGTTTTAGGAAACACAAATAAGGTTGTTCGGCGCAAATGCAGAGTACATAAAGTATGTGGAAAGGTAGGCTGGTGCCAGATTGTGGAGGGCTTTAAATCCGCACTGAGTCGTCTGTATTTTATTATTGAAGCAAAATGGAGCAACTGAATATGGTTAAACAGGGGAATGATTAGTTCCAACCTGTGTTTAAGTAACATTATTTTGTCAGCCATGCGGAGGATGGATTGGAGAAAAGACAATAAGTAACAGAGAGACCTACTGGGATACTCAGTAGTCTAGACAAAAGGTGAGGAGGGCCTTGTGAGTGGAAATATATTGCAGAAGGAGAATCAACAAGACCTGGTAATTGGATATGGAAGAGTGAGGGAGAGGAGGGTAAAGAATGACTTCTAGATTTTGAACCTGAACTAGGATAGTTGCAGGAAGGGTATTTTGGACATTTTGAGTTTGAGATACCTATGGGCTATATATGATGAAAAGTCCAGCAACTAGGCAGTGATGTAGAGTTCAGAAAAGCAATTAGGGTTGGAAGTATAAAATTAGGAATCACTTGCATAGAGATAATTGAGCTAGTGGAATCTGAAGAGATCACCAAAAGCAAGACTTTAGACAAACATAGAGGATTCTGGATAGAGGTCTGGGAGATATAACCATAGTTATGATGATGATCCAGCAAAGGATGCAGTACAACAGTCTGGTAGAAGAACTTGAAAAACACAGTGCCATCACAGCCTTAGGAGAAGAGATTATCAAGACAGAAGAGATGTCAAGAGTGATAGATAAGAAATAGCCATCATATTTCATATTCATTTTCAAGAGATCATTGGCTACCTTAGGGTAGTTTCAGTCAAGTAAGTGAGGTCAGCAGATATACAGCAAGGGACTGAATAGTGAAGAAGTGAAGGTGGAAGTAATGTAGGCAGGCAGGAGTTTGGCTGTGAAAGGGAAATCTATAGGATGACAGCTTGAGGGGACTGTGGGGTCAAATTACATTTTTTTTTTAAAAGATAGAGGTTTATAGGCAGCTGGAAAAAAGTGACAGACTGTAGATGAGAGAGGAAACGATAGAGGGGACAAGCTCCCAAAGACAGAAGGAGATAAGATAGTAAGCATAAGTACTGGAAGTGTTGGCCTTAGAATGGAGAAGAGCCACATCTCTTCATAAGAGACAAAAGCAAAAGAAAAGAACTAGGGATAATGAAATGGAATTTTAAAGTACAGAAGAAGGGAAGAGAAAGAGCTCATGATGGGTGACTTCTAGTAGAGATTTTTTTAAGTCAAGTAGGAGGTGAGGTCTTCTGAGACAAAGGGGAGAAAGGGCAATGTAGGGATCCTGAGGGGAAAAGAATGTTTGGAACAGCCACCATAGGGACTTTTTTAAAAAACCAGACCTGATTTCATCGGTATAGTAAACTCCTGGTGAGAAATGCTCTGTACCAATGCAGGATGGCACCTGCTTTATAATTCATAATCGTAAGAAAGCAGATTGGAGAACTGAAAGGTTAAGTGATTTGCCTACACAGTTGAGTATATGTCAAAGGAAGAATTGGAACTTAGGTTTTACTGACTCTGAGGCTGTCTCTTTATCCAACATCTATATATCAGGACATCCTGAAAAGTCTAAGCTTTAAAAAGCTTAAAACTGCACTAAGATTTTTGGGACATCCATACTTCTTTCTAATTATATACAGTTCTACAACACTCCAATGCTGAAAAACTTCCACAAGATACTTGATAATCTTGTTGAACTGAACTGAGAATACTTAAAGTTAAAACTGGCCAAAGTAAATGGGGTTTCCAAATGTGGTTATTCCCAAGACTACTGCAGTAGTCTTGGTATCTTATTATAAACAGGTATCTTCTTATAAATAATCTCTGCAAAGTTGTTCAGAAGAAGTAGACGTAGCTACTGAGGCTTACTTGGTCAGACTGAAAAGTCAGTTTATACAAGCTGTGCAATAAAACATAACACATTTATACCTCATTGCATGCATGCTACTTTCTCCAGAGGACATAATACTTTAAGTAACCTGACTCCTTAACCTGGGGCAAGAACAGTATTAGAAACTTGCCTCTTAAATAAACACTGGAAAAATGGCTAGGAATAAGGTTGGAAAGACAGGTCAGGAGGGCAAAGGCAGGAAGAAGGGGGTGGAGGGGGAGGCTTGAAACCAGAACACTCACTGTTGATGCCACCAAAAGTCTATATACAGATGAGAAGGCATGCACCCCCTACTCCTTACTAGCAAGTTTCAGGCTAGTGGGTGAAGTTTTCATTAAGAAACTATTATATTAATGCAGGATGAGTAGACTTTTTGTTGAAGTCTCGGTTCTTATTTTTAAAGTTGGTGGGATCTGGGGAGAAAGAGAAAAGGAAGTTCACCAGATTCGCTTGAACTCTCTTGCCATTTCTTGACCCTCTCTCGAAGATGTACTCTCCAGCCTGGTTGGAGCCCACAAAGCTGATTGCTTTTATATCCGGATGATCACAAATAAAATTCACAGCTTTAAGGAGAAAATAAGTTATTATAACAAAAGACCTAATAGACTCTGTCTTCTCAACCTAGCAAATTTCTTCTTTGTTGTCCACATTCCCATTGCCACAAGTTTGATCTTTTCCTACTTTAGCCTTTCCTTTCCAGATTCCCATTTCTAACTTGGATTTTCATTCTTTTCTAATTTTTCAGTTTCAGGACTCAATTTCTATTTTTCTTTTGTTTTGCTCTCACCCTGACTTTGAAATTTCTACCTTTAACTTGCTTCTAAGTACTCTTGCCTACCTCCAAACACCTGCCTTCTGTTACTCCATTTTCTTGGTATTTTTATCTTTCAGGGTATTTCATTTTATCTACTGCTCCCATGCATTAGAGTTTTCGGATAACACTGTACACAAACCAGTTGCACTTCACATTACATATAAGTACCTTAATTTTTCCTAAATCTATAACTTGTGAACTATTATATACCTTTTTTCTTACAACATTTTCAATAATAAGTAAATGTCTTTTTAACAGGTTCTTTGGCCCTTAACCAGTATTTCTAGTTTCACTGTGTACAGTGTGAAAAACTGCTGGTCATTTATCAATCTTTTTAGCCATGGGGGCACACACATATATGGCAACATCATCCTCAAACACTGGAGATCATACTAACACTTTTCCCTGTTGTTCTTTTTTTTTTGGGGGGGGGTGAGGCAATTGGGGCTAAGTGGCTTGCCCAGGGTGTTATGTGTCTGAGGCTGGATTTGAACTCAGGTCCTTCTGATTCCAGGGCCAGTGCTCTACCCACTGCACCACCTAGCTGCCCCTCCCTGTTATTCTTTAGGCCTTTATCTCAAACTTTAATCACCTCAATACCAGCTTTTCATTCCTCTGTTGGCAGACTGAAATCCCTTTGTTAGAGGTCTTTACCTTCGTGCCGCCCATGGATGACATTCAATGTCCCATCTGGGGCACCAGAGTCTTGCAGCAACTTGGTGAGAAACATAGCTGCTCCAGGTACTCGCTCAGATGGTTTCAACAAGTAGGTGTTTCCACATACCATGGCCATGGGGAACATCCAGAGAGGAATCATGGCAGGAAAATTGAATGGAGCAATGCCCGCACATACACCCAACGGTAGACGGTAGGAGTAAATGTCCATGTCTTTGGTAATGGAAGGCAATGTCTCTCCCAGTATGAGGGATGTCACGCTACAGGCATGTTCAACTACCTCTGCAACAAAGAGGGACAAATCAGACCATTTTCAATTTCAGAGCCACCACTTCTCCAGCACGGGCCTTTGCTAAACTCCTTTTCCAGGTACGTTCAGCATGACCAAAGAAGACTGACTTCTCTCAGTGGTGGAGAGCTGCATCTCAGTCTATGTGAAGGCATCATACAAAATGATATCCTCTGAAGGGGAAAGAGACTGATTTGGAATACCAGTGTTAAGAAAATAATGAACTTTTGGAAATAAATGAATTTCATGTATCAATGAGAGGTAACGCCTCTCAATATTCAGGAATGGCCAGGAAAATTTTCAAGCATTGATTAACCGCATATTCTAAAATGAAGAAACTGATCATTCTCAGTATCCTCTTCCTCCCTCCATCCCTCCCAGAAGCTCTGAAATTCTTATGAGGGACTGTCAGCTTACGAAGGCCTCGGAACACATCTCCCTCAGCATCAGCCAGGGTCTTCCCTTGCTCCAAAGTGATTAGCTTAGCAATTTCTTTCTAAAAAGAAAACAAAATTAAACCAAAGCAAGAGAAGAAACCCTTTCCCACCTCCCTTCTACTGTATATTCCCCACACAGCCAAGGAAGATGAGTAATTAGGCAAATACTACTGGGGGAAAATTTTATAGCAAATATAGCTAACAAATATAGCAAACTTCAGGTCTGTGTGTCTGCTGTAGATTTCCGAATAGGTACCAAGAGAAAGAGTCATTATGGAATTTAAGGATGTTATATAGGTGCCAGTATCAAGGATAAATGGGGGTCCTCTATACCTTATTACCAGGGAAAATATATTATTTAGATTTTCGCACCAAGTTTTCCTTGATAAGCTGCTGATACCGCAGCAAGACCTGCTGGCGACTTAGTACAGATGTCTGTGACCATGAGTGAAAAGCACGTTTGCAGGACTCCACAGCTGCGTTCATTTCAGCCTCTGTAGCTTTGGGAACTCGGCTAATCACCTCATTGGTAGCCTGATGAGACAGAGCAGCATATCATATTTTACTTTACAGTCTCATGATGTAGTGACCAGCCCATTAGTTAATAATGCATACTCAGTCCTGTAATTTCCCCATCATATTCTCAGAATGTTTTCAGTTGGTCAGTGTGGCTTCCAAAGCAACTCTTCTTACCGGATTGTGAATGTCGATCCACTTGTCGCTTTTAGATTCAACAAATTTCCCATCTATGAAAAGTTTGACTCTTGGCTGAAAAAGAACAAAAACAATTTGTTATTATTGGGATTCTCTCTGTCTTGTCCACAATGTGAGGAATTCTAAGTGATTCTGGAAACTTCTGTTCTCTATACAGTTTACCAGTGAGAAAACGCTAAAATTATTTTATCAAGGGAAATGGTATACCATCAGTATTTGGTCTCCATGTTATGCGAACCCATTAAGAGTTGGTATAGCTTTATTCTGAAGTGGTATAAGGAAAAGAAGATATGATTTGAACTTTGGGACTCAAGTCTGAATCCCAGCCCTACCACTTAATATATGACCTTGGACAAGTTACTTATGGAAGCCTCAGGTCCAGAGATGATATCTGTAAAATACTGTCACTATTTTCCTCACATAGCTGCTGAGAGGGTGAAATAAGACACGTAAAACACTTTGTAAATCCTAAAGCACAATATAAATGTCAGTTCATATTGTGACAGCAGAATTATTAATACATGGTGGAACCTAGTAACAGTAAAAGTAAATATATATCCATATGAAGCACAAAAGCAACCACAAGATTAGTCTTTTAGCAAAGGGGATTAGTTCTTATGAATCCTTGGTTCAACTGACTTTTGGTATGATCTGAGATAAGGCCTAAATACTGAATAAGTAAAATATTTTCTCTCTCTCTTGCAATATTGCTCGTAAGAACAAAACATATAAAGAATGACATACCTGAAAAACAATAAATCCTAGAATATTCCTTCAAAAAATTTTGTACTATCAAGTTGAAAACAAGAGTGGTAAAGCATGGAATGACACAAAAAGGAAATGGGGAAAGGACTGAAAGGGAAGGAACTGAAGAAGCCAGCGATAGTAACTAGAACTCCTAGACAGTAATAATTCAAAATTCTTGGAATATTCTGAAATCATTATTGCTTTATCAAAATTGGCAAGGCTCAGAGTAATATATTTGTAGGGAGAAAAGGTTAGACTAACCAATTCCCATTAAGTTGTTAAGACACTGGAAATGGCTTAGGTTGACATACCATATAATCTAAATAAATCTAAATACTACAATCTAAAAATTGTTAGGAGTATGATAGACCTTTGTAGTGAAGACAAAAATCACTGGATCACAGAATCATAGATTTAGTGCTAAAAGGAATCAAGAGTCTATCTAATCCAGCCCCATTCATTTTACATATGAAAAAACTGAGGCACTGAAAACTTAAGTGACTTGCCCAGAGTCACACAGCTATTAAGTATCTGGAGAATGGATTTAAAGGAAATCTTGTAAATATTTCTTGTCAGAGACTCAAGCCTCAGTCTCTGGTGGGATAGGCAGTAATGCTCACCATAAGATAAGTATGAATTCAGAAAGTTCTTTGAAATTCACTGATGAATTGACAGAAATGGTAGATGCTTTGAAATTACATGTTGTACTCAGGCTCTAATAAGCCTCTGTAAGTTAATCAAATACTATTGGGAGTACAGAGCTTAAATTTTTTTTGAGTAATATTTTAGTTTTTCCCCAAATACATGTAAAGACAATTTTTTTTTGTGGGGGCGGGCTAGGCAATGGCGTTAAGTGACTTGCCCAAGGTCACACAGCTAGTAAGTCTCAAGTGTCTAAGGCCAGATTTGAATTCAGGTCCTCCTGACTCCATGGCTGGTGCTCTATCCATTGTGCCACCTAGCTGCCCCTAAAGACAATTTTTAACTTTCATTTTTAAAAATTTTGAGTTCTGCACTCTCCTTCTTTTCTCCCTCTTCCCTGAGAGGGTAAGCAATTTGATATAGGTCATACATGTGCAATTATGCAAAATATATTTCCATATTAGTCATGTTGTGAAAGAAAACAGAACCCCCCCCAAAAAAACCCCTCATATAAAAAAGTGAAAAATAGTATGCTTCGATTTGCATTCAGACTCCATCAGTTCTTTCTCAGGAGTTAGACTATTTTTCATCATAAATCTCTTGGAACTGTCTTGGAACACTGTATTGCTAAGAATAGCTAAGTCATTCAGTTGATCATCATACAATATTGCTGTTACTACGTGCAATGTTCTCCTGGTTCTGCTTACTTCATTCTGTATCAGTTTGTGTAAGTCTTTCCAGATTTTTCTGAAATCCTGCTTATCATTTCTTATAGCATAATAGTATACATTACAATCATATACTGCAACTTGTTCAGCCATTCCCCAATTGATGGATATCCCCTCAATTTTCAATTCTTTGCCACCACAATCACAGCTGCTATAAATATTTTTGTACAAACAGATCCAGGTACAACTCTTATGAGATGACACCACAGGAAAATGATATCCCTTTTCCTAAAGATCAGAGAGATCAACTCCCATAAACTGGCCTTTATGCCAGCATGAACTTACCAATGACGAAGAGGAAAAAAAGGATGCTGGATACCAGGTAGGGTTTATCTTGGAAGAAACCTATGAGACCAAAAAAGAAAAAAGAAGGAGAAGAAAGAGATTCTATCATTTTTTGGAGTAGAAATTGAATGAAAAAATGTAGGGGGAGAGAACAGACCAACTATATCCACAATGCCAAATACTACATAAAGTATCAAGTATAACAGAGGAACTAGTGCTCTTCATGCAAAGTGATATTTAAGCTCCTAAGTGTCACTGAGACTTAGTAGGATAGCATTCAAGACTAGATATGGGAACAGACGGGTATACCTTATTCAGAGAGAACAGATTAACTAAAAGGCAATCATGAAAGCATTACACATTAAGAATATACATTTGTGTTAGGAAATCTGTAAGTGAGACAAGGAAAAATGGTGAAGAACACTGGGGTGAAGATCAATGGAGTTTAAAAGAATGTTGTGATGGGAACATATCTGGTAGAAGGATATAAATGATAAACCTGGGAAAGAGATCATAAATGTGGCATGTAGGTATAGTAGTAATAGAAGACCTCATTTATCAAATGAGGCTATGTAAAGATATTGACAGATCTTTTGGAGTCATATAAGATATTAACTATGTTATCATTATCTTCATCTAGACATAACCTAAAGCAGTCAGCTAAAAGCAGGGCAGGCAGTAGATTAAACCAACACGTTGATCACAAGGATGTATACCTCATTCTCTATCTGTAGTGCATGAATTCTCTCCCAAGAAGGAGCTATGTTTCATGCTTCAGCTATCTTGGGGTCAAGAACTGGTCCCTTCATTGGTCTAAATTCTCATATTTAGTGTAATTTTCCTTTACATTACTGAGATCATTGTGCTTACAGTTCCCCTTGTTTGCTTACTTTGTTCTCCATCAGTTTTTCTGAATCTAATTGTTTAGAACATGTCTCGTCTTAAAGATATTTTCATTTTTCAAAAAATGGAAGGAGGTGAGAGGAAATGCTACTCTGGATCCAATCCTGACCAATAAGGACCTGGTGCCAAATTAGAAATTATGAGAATCTTGGAAAAATGCAACCACTTCGCCTTGGAATTTGCGATTGATAAAGAAAGAAAAGCTGGGCAGAGTATGACATAAACCCAGCTAGGGTTATCTTGGGAGAAACCTATGAAACAAAAAAAGAAAAAAATGTACCATTTGAGTAAAATTTGTCATTGTGTTGGCTGGTTATGCTTAATTGTCTTTCTTTGTTCCAAGGAAGGGGCTTATTTAGCTCGAAGGATTTATATTTGGAAATGACAAAAAGCATGGAGAAAAAAAATCCTTCATCTGAATTGAGGTAGGGATATGTTTAAAGGCATGGCAGAACTTTGTTTTGGCATTTCTCAAAGCTAGAAATGCTTAGATTTAGAATGTTAAATTAATAAAATGTTTCTGGCAGACTTATCCCTAAAACACAGACTACAGCATTATTTACACCCCCCCCAAAAAAAATGAGATTAGGAAGGAACTCTGTTTGGCGAAAAGCTGCTGAAATCTAGAGGAGTCAAAATTCTTTCAAGTTGTCTTCTGCCATTCCCCCACCCCCTTCCCCACCAAGAAGGCCAGAGTTCAGAGGGCAGCGTGGGTGGAGAAAGGCTGCAGGCGCAGTTTCCACAGCAGCTGGTTTTGGTTTCAGGGACCCCTCTCCCGCAGTCTTATAACGCCTACGGACTCCTCATTAGAATGTTTTTTTAAATGCATACAATATGCATTACAAAAGAAATCAACACTTAAATGTAGTTAACCAAGTATTTTTTCAGAGCCGCGTGCAGGTGGACCCCAGGTTAAGAGTACGTGGTAAGCGAGTAACGGAACAGAGCAGTGGGCGGAGATAAGAGCGTCGTCAGAGGACGAAGCACCAGGCCCGGGGAGAAAAGTTCGAGGCCAGGGTTTTGTAGGCCAGAGGTGGGTTGGCCGCTGGCACGATCAGGCCGGGGTCGCTCAGCTCGGGAAGGGGGTGACAGAGCCGGGACAAAGGCCTGGGAGGCTGCGAGGGCTGGGGGTCAGGGGGTGGCGGGGCTGGATCCCGGGGTCTCCTCGGCCCGGGCAGAGGGAGGAGTCGGCTCGAGCCGGATCCTTCCAGAGGCTCGAAGTTCCCCCCCTTTTCTCACCCGAAACATCCGGGCTCGTAAGCCCGCCGCCGCCGCCGCCTTCGCCACCGCCATCACTGCCCGTCTCAGTCAGTCACCGTTTGGCTTACCAGTCCGACCGCCGGCTGACCCCGCCTCCCTCGCCTTTCCATCGACGAGGAGGAGGAGGAGGGCCTTGGTTACGGCCAATCACACTGCGCGGCCCCCTTCCCCGCCCCCGCGCCCCTCCTCCGCCGAAGATCTTCTGGAAAAGTATCCGATATGCCCCAAATGGAGAATTGGTTCCGCGCCCCCGCCCCCACAGTCTCCTCTCCCTCGGTACTACTCCGATTGGCCGAGGCTGGGAAGACGCCCCCTTGTTTTCGGGTCTCCAGCCCGAGGAGCACGGAAAGAAGACGCCCCTTCACGGGGAGCATGGATTGGCCACCGGGTGAGAGCTCGGCCCCGCCTCCTGGGGGAGGAATGTAAACAAGGACTGCGATTTTTGGCCGCGGTCAGCTTAAGTTAGGGGGTGTGGCTAAGGGGGTGGAGGGGGAAACGGGTGGTAAGGGAAGGTACGGGCGGGGCTAGGCAATCGGCTTCAGATTGGGGCAGGGGAGATGGGGCGGGGCTTGCCGCTCACTTTCCCGCCGACGGTTAGCTGTGTCACGTGACATGGGTCGGAAGATGGCGTCTCCCACAGACGGTAGGAGCCGGCTAAGAGCCTACGGTTTCCCAGCTTTTTTCTCTCCTCTCCCGGGAACCTCCTTTCTTTATAATCTGGGGCTTCCTTTCCCACCATCAGCGCTCACTCTCATCCCTCCTCTTCCCTGCTATCCCGACTTCTCTGCTTCCAGCTCTTCGGCCCCCAGCCGCGGTGGCACTGCAGGGGTTAGGAGGGAGTAGCCGCGGTGCCGGGGGAAGAGGGGCCAGACTACGAAGACACTCCTGGGGAAAGGGAGACGGGGCGGAGAGGCGGGGGGAAGTCCGTTCTTCTAGGTTCTCGGGACTGTTCTCCTCGGCTTGGCGAGGATGGCGCTGGCGTGCCGGGGCTCGGAAGGAGAGAAGCTTGACGGAGGGGGTGGGGTGGGGTGGGGTGGGGTGGAGGGGGCGGGGAAAGGAGGCTCCCGCCGGCAGGATTCTGCTCTTCTTCCCACTGATGATCTCTAACGTGATTTAAGAACCGGTGATTGCTAACTTGTAGAAAAAACGTAACATCATTAAGTCTTCCTTCAGTTTGGATTCGGTTGCCTTGGCAGCAGTTAATTAGTTTCACTAGAAAAAGGAGAACCTATGGAGACCGTGGGCTCCGTCTCTATGAGAATGGAATTGCTTTTATAAGAACTTTTTTTTCCTGTTGTTGCTCCTCTCCCCCCCAGTTTTAAATTAATTAATTTATTTTGATTTATCAACAATCATTTCCATAAGCTTTTGAGTTTTAAATTTTTCTCCCACTCGTTCCCCGCCTCCCTCCTCCAGACGGCGTGCAATCTGATAGAGGCTCTGCATATATATTCCTTTTAAACGTATCTTCGCATTAGTTCTGTTGTAAGGAAGAATTGGAACCAATAGAAGGAACCACGAGAAAGAGGAAATAAAACAAAACAAAGGGAAGAAAAAGAACAAATAGTATGCTCCCATCTGTATTCATACTGCATAGTTCTTTCTTTGGATGTGAACAGCATTTTTCACCCCACATTTTTGATACATTTAAAAATTTCTCTCGGCTAGGATTAATCTCCAAGGCCCCTTACAACTTTATATCAATGATCCTGTGAACCAGATGGGGAGGAAGTTCTTTTTAGTTGGTCATGGGAATATCTAGGAATTCTGGAAGCTTACCTAGGTAGTATATTAACTATCATAAGCAACAAACAGATAAATCAGGATATATACAAAATAAATATACACAGATTATGAGGGGAGAGAGAATTAACTGGAAGAATTAAGAAGGGCCTCCTGAAGTCTTTTTCTTTTTTTAATTATTTTTAGCGTTCTTTTCAAAATATTTTTGAGTGCTAAATTCTCTCCTTCCCTTCCTCCAGCTCCTCCTCCCCACTGAGAAGGCAAGCAATATGATATCCATTATTTATATGAGATTGTGTAAAACATTTCCATATTAACCATATTCCCCAAACCCAAGAAAAATAAAATGAAAAAATATATACTTCAGTTTATCAGTTCTGGAGATAAATAGCATTTTTCATCATAAGTCTTTCAGATTGTCTTGATCATTGTAGCTAATCAGAGGCGGGGAACCTGTGGTTTTGAGGGCATGTGTGGCCCTTTGACTGAATCCAGAATTCACAGAACAAATCTCCTTAATAAAAATATTTGTTCTGTAAAACTTGGATTCAGGCGAAAGACTGCACCCAAGGACCTAGAAGGCCATAGTATCCTCACCCCTGAATCTTAATTCAGTCTTAATTAATTTAATTAATTTAACAACTTAAATTTAAATTAATTTAATTAATTTAATTAATTAAGTCTTAATTAAAAAGACTTATCTTTTGCAGTTGATCATCATTACAGTATTGCTATTACTGTGTACAATGATCTCCTGATTCTGCTCACTTCATTCTTCATCAGTTCATGTAGGTCTTCACAGGTTTTTCTGAAACCATCTTGCTTATCATTTCTTATAATATTCCATTACAATCATATACCACAACTTATTCAGCCATTCCCCAGTTGATGGGCATTCCCTCAATTTCCAATTTTTTATCACCACAAAAAAAAAAAGCTAAAAAATATTTTGTACCTGTGGGGCCTCTGACTTCTTCTTTGATCTCTTTGGGTTACCGACCTAGGAGTGGTAGTACTGGGTCAAAGAATATGCACAGTTTTATAGCTCTTTAGATACAGTTCCAAATTGCTCTCCAGACTAGTTGGACCAGTTCAAAAATCCTCCAGTGGTATATTAGCATCCCTAATTTTCCACATTTCCTCCAGCCTTTGTCATTTTCCTTTTCTATCATGTTAGCCAATCTGATAGGTATAAAGTGGTATCTCAGAATTCTTTTAATTTGCATTTCTCTAATCAGTAGTGATCTAGGACATTTTTTTCATGTGATTGTTAATAGTTTTGATTTCTTCTTCTGATAACTGCTTGGGGGAATGGCTCTTATTTTTATAAATTTAGCTCAGTTCCCCATATGGTTGAGAAATGAGGACTTTAGCAGACAAACTTGCTGTAAAAAACTTTTGATATTACTTCATTTTCTATAGCACCTTTTAGCAAAATGTAGTTTCACTGATTATATCTTTTAATTAAGTCTGTTTTGCTTTTGTTTTGTCTGAGATCCTGTTTGCTACTCCTACCTTTCTTATTTCCTATGAAGCATAATAGATTCTGTTCCAGCCCCCTTATTTTAACTCTGTATTGTGTCTTTCTATTTTAAATGTGTCTCTTGTAAGCTACATATTATTAGATTCATATTTCTAATCCTTTCTGCAGTCTGCTCCTGTTTTAAGGGTGAATCCATCCCATTCATACTCACAGGTATGATCACTGTGTTTCCCTAGCCTCTTGAAGTCTTGAAGGGAGTTAAGGATTCCCAGAGGCAGAGGTGAAGAAAGAAAATACTAGGGGGCAGCTAGGTGGCGCAGGGATAAAGCACCAGCCCTGAAGTCAGGAGTACCTGAGTTCAAATGCGGCCAAACACTTGACACTTACTAGCTGTGTGACCCTGGGCAAGTCACTTAACCCCAACTGCCTAAAAAGAAAACAAAACAAAACAAAAAAAAGAAAGAAAGAAAACACTAGGCATAAGGGCACAGACTATGCAAAGGTACAGAAGCAGGAGATAAACTACCATTTGTGAGGAATAGCAAGAAGGCTGAGTCAGTTGGAGCCAGGTTGTAAAATGCTGAACAGAGATGTTTGATCTTTATCCTAAGGGCACACTGGGAGCCACTGTACCTTTTGAGCAATAGCATGACAGAGTCAGACCAGTGTCTTAGGAATATGAATTTGTCAGCATTATAGAAGATTGAAGAGGAGAGAAGCAAGAGATAGGGAGACAAATTAGGAAGCTAGGAGTAGTTAGGAGAGGTTTTTATTGTTGTCCTTCAGTAGTGTCTGACTCTTCGTGACTGTGCTTTTTTTGGCAAAGATATTGGAGTGCTTTGCCTTTTCCTTCTCCAATTCATTTTACAGATGAGGAAACTGAGGCAAACAGGAGTAAGTGGCTTGCTCAGGGTCACACAGCTAGGAAGTGTTTGAAGCCATATTTAAACTCAGGAAGATGAGTCTTCCTGACTCTAGGCCCAATACTCTTATCCACTGTGCTAGGAGACAGGTTAAGGAGAATTAACAACTGACTGAATGTGACTGCATATGAAGAGTTGAGGCTGATTCTGAGGTTGCAGTTGAAGATGTCTCTGGGTGGTGTTCTGAACAGAAATCTAGAAATTAGGGGGAAGGTTGGGTTTAGTTGAAAAGATAATGAGTGCTGTTTTGGCCATGTTGGGTTCGAGATGCCTGTAGTACATCCAGGTGGTAATGTTGAGTAGGCACAAATATGGGACAGGAGCTTAGGGAAGATATAACAGCTAAATACTTAGATTTGGGAATCTATTCTTTACTTTGAGCTTATCCCTTTTTTAACCTTATTTTTTATACACATATATATGTGTGTGTGTGTGTATGTGTGTGTGTGTGTGTGTGTGTGTGTGTGTGTGTGTGTGTATATATATATATATATATATATATATATATATATATATATATATAATATATGTTGTTTTGTTTTGTTTTGTTTTTTGGGCTAGGCAATGGAGTTTACGTGCGCCCAGGGTCACACAACTAGTTAAGTGTCAAGTGTCTGAGGCCGAATTTGAACTCAGGTCTTCTGACTCCAGGGCCGGTTCTCTAACCACGGTGCCACCGAGCTGCCCCCAACCTCATTTAATATTGGGTTGAAATCTATATCTTAATCTTACTGAAGTTTCTACTGTAAATGTTGATGTTCTTAATTCTATAGTTCAGTTGTTGTCTTCAGTGGTAAGAATATAGGTAACTTAAACTGACAATCCTGAGTATCTTGCTGTTAAAACTGTATACCACTACATAAGTTTTACACTTGTAGAACTTGGATTTTCCAAAATTATCTTAGGTTTTGTTTCTCCCAGTATTTTTTGTCAGATTCCTGTATCGCTTAACCAATGTGAACTTCTAGTTTTGAT